TTTTTTTGCACATAGGGATACTAGCCCTGTATGCACTTTCCCATCGCTGGAAGTTGGCTGCAGAATGAAGCCTTCATTCTATTTGGATCCACAAAACATGTGTCATGTGTGATTATTTATAAGCGACCGAAATTAAGGTGTTTTACTTTTGTTAAAACTATATTTTTTCATAGCCAAAATGCACAACATTTACAAATTAAAGAAAATATTGTTGAAACAATTTTAATTTTTTTTCATGTATGTCTTTACATTTTCTTATTAGAATTTCGTGTCAAACTAGGAGACATGCTCGAAAACAGAAGCTCGCCCCCAGATTGTGTCTATTAAGATGTTGATTTAAGCGACATTTGAAAATGTTCTGAATAATATGCACGCAATTCTTTTTTTTTATTCGAGAAGGTACAAAGCGAGCTGGCGGTTCACCTGATTTCAACTGATAACTGCCGCACATCTTCTGTGAGGTCGCGGTACTTCCCTAGACGGACCTGCCTGTTCGTGCAACAGAGACTACAAACTTTAATTGCTTGTAGAATAATGGTTATTCACAATGCAATCTTACGGTCGTAGGGCCCCGCAACAGCCTCGGCTGTTGCACGAATGTGCAGGCTCGTCCGGATCAGTACGAACTCACCGAAGACCGGCGTAAAGTGGAAATAATTTTTTTTTGCGTGAGGTAGCCGGAGCCCAATTATCAAAAGTCAACGCATCTATAACCCTTGGGTGTAGCAGATGTTCATGGGCGGCGGTATTCGCTTACCATCAGGTGAACCGCCTGTTCGCTTGGCAATTTTTCACATAAAAAAATGCAAGCAATCAAAGTTAGATTTTCAAATAAATGGAAATTAACCTGAAATCAAGTGAGCGCAAGTCACGCAACAGAGCGTTACGACATGCAGTAATAAAAAAATGACTTGTGTTACCTAGGATAACTTGGGAATATTTAACGCTATTATAATATTTGTGAGTTATTCTAAACGCGCTGTGGCTTTAATGTAGTGATCGAATTTGGCATAGACTTCGGGTCAGAACCTCCCCGCTCGGTATCCACTCGTAATGCCCGTAATTAAATAAATTTACACACAATTCATTGGTAATAGTTTGTTTGTTGCACCCAGACAGACAGCCAGGAGATTTTGACGTCGGCGAATCACTGAAATATGGCCTGCTAAACATTTTACCTTTATAAAAAAATATTTATATTCGAATATTTAGATAAATCAAAATTAAACCTGTGATGTATATCTTTATAATACATTTTTATTCATTAAAATTTGTTCAGAAATTTTGATGTTATACACGAGCACACGTCTCAAACTTTTTTTAATTTTCGCCACCAATATGTACAGCTAGCTATCTTTTCGCCTGCGGCTGGGCTCGCGTTGAACCCCTTAGATAAATATCTATCCCTTTAAGAACCACTTATAACCCTTTTTCCAATTTAAAAATAGCCTGTATCCTTTCTCAGGCTCTACACTGTACCAAATTTCATTTAAATTGGTTCAGTAGTTTTGGCGTGAAAGCGAGACAGACAGACAGAGTTACTTTCGCATTTATAATATTAGTATAGATTTGATAATAATACCATACCGTAATATGACTTGAGTCTTGTCTTCTTGTCTTCGAACCTTTGTATCGTTAAATAATAAACAGGGAAATATTGACCCAAGATATCTCATAGAATAAACATTCAGTTTGACTTACAAATTTGAAATTTGAAATATTCAGCGGCAAAAGATGGAAAACAGGCTCACGTGTACCGACCCGCTGTCAGATTATTATTGAGTGCAATTATTTATGTACATAAGCCATCGTCGATAACAGATAAGTACGACATAATGTGACATATGCGAAACGATTCACTACCACAACAGTTACAATTTTATGCTACGTAAATGTGACGATGACTTACACTTAAAAGGTGGAGGCAAACATGGAATACTACTTCGGTATAGAGAAGAGTATTCATGCAATAGATAATGTAAAATTTAGGATACAAAAGAAGTCATATAAAATGAATATTCATTTAATAAATAAGCAGAGAATGCTATAGCCAAAATAGAGTCATATCAAAATTTTTTATAAATAGTTAATAAGACACATTTCTTATTAACTCTACAATAGCTTGAATAATCCAATAAAATGAACAAAACGAAATGAAGTATCCAGTTGGGAATCTTAGGCCATGTCCATTATGTCATTTATACATAAGATTAGGGGATAATGAAGACGCTATTAATTATATTAGGCTATAATAAGCATTAGCAAACAGGTCAACTCCTGGTGGAAAAGTGGATTTATTTAAATAATACGGCCCTCTTTCTTAAGCGGGAATATTAAAAAATTAATTGAACGTATATATAAATGAAAAAATATCCAGTTAGAAATGAATTTCCTAAACACTTTACTACGCAATGACAGTGGCTTTTCTGTAAGTTATTTTCTCATGTTATCGAAAGTATTGGCCTGAAATACTAATATAATCGGAAATCTACCAGTTATGCACTTTTGTAACGAACATATATATTCTGATATTTTTAAGTCTACTCAGGTCTTATTTTGATATAAACTAATATACAAATTTCTTTATTTCCAACAAAAAAACTTCGACATTTATGCCTTTACTATAGTTAAAGAAAAAACGGCTGCTGTAGAAGTTCGTATAATCTCTGTCACTAATATAAGGTAAAATGATACAATATTTTATTTGATTATAACTTTAACAATTGTTGAACAATCTACTGCTAAATATGCCTATATGGTGAAGGTAAATTATAAACAACAGTATCAATTAGTGGCTATGCTATATGCTGGCTATATTGTGTTATTTAACTATAAAGCAATTATTATTACCAAAGCCAATGATGAAAATAAAAGAAATAAATAATTCTTTGTAAGGGAATATGACTTAGTTTTTTCAACTTTGTTGTATACTCTGTGTCCGAATTTTCGTGCAGGGGATTGGTTCGTAGTTCCGCTTCAAGACGAGAGATAGCGTATCAGCAAACGAAATTTCCATCAAGCTTTCTTTTCTTCCAAAACCCTCTTTAAATTGCATAGCTCTTAATATAGTCTGGGTTCTAAAATTTTTGCTTGCAGTTTGGCATTTTGGTGTTTTTTAAAATGTTTCGGCATATAAATGTGCATGATGTTCATTTTCTTTTTTTGAGATCACTCTATATTGCCTTATTTAAAATCGTTTTGGTTTAAATACGTTATCGATATTGTTCAAGGTTACAAACACATTAAGCTATTAGATAAATTTCCTCCATGGAACAATTTTAGTAACTTAAAATCACACATAACATTACCATGTATTTAATTCATCTACTCGATAAGAGGTGGCGCTACAGGTTGCAACTTTATTGAACATTGTTTCCGCATTACCTTAAAAATCTAAAAAAATATTTTTTTTATTCGACATATTTTTTTTTAATCAACGATGGTGAAAGTATATTTTGTACTGTAACCTTGAGTGAATTAGGGACAAGACTTAAGAATTTAGACAAAATAATATATTGACAGAATGTGAATCGAAAATCCATTATAAGAATTCAGTTTAGGAAATTATTAATACATAATTTAAATTGTTTATATTAATATTTTCAAAATTTAATTAATATAAACAATTTTGAAGTTTTGAGTTAGCATATTTTGAAAATATTGTTGATCAGCAAACCGTCATTTATTTATGATCTGAGAGTATGAACTTTATTTATTTTGTTTGAATGACAATTTGAATTTTTTTAAGACTCTTAATTATATAATTTAAATCGGTAAATTAAGATGGTCGTTGTGTATGTAGTGTAATGTAAATAAATAATCGTAGTAAAATAAATAATTATTTTAATAATTTAAATAATTACTTATTTCAATATGGGAGAAACAATTTATTTTTATTTATTTATAAAACCGGTTCAATACCGAAGTGAAGTGGAAGTGTTATACTTTTACGTTTTGTCTGGTGAGTGAGGTAACCGGGGCACACAATTCACTAAAAGGTGCCAACGTATCTGCTAGTCTACGGATGCTGCAAAAGTCCATAGGTGGCGATTATCACTTAGCTTAGGGTGAAGCGCCAGTTCGCTTGCTACCTTCTCATATAAAAAAACATGAAATAGGTTTTTTCTAATTAGAAACATTTTACTATTAGATTATTTAATAGTAATATTTATGTAAAAAAGAATTATGGTTGTTTTAAAACACGTAGCGCATAAATCAATCCCTTGGGTATTAGGGAAATTTATAGCGGAAAATTTAGGTATTTTATAAATAAAATATAATATAAAAGTTACAGAAAGAAGTGCGTGAAACACAAAGCACGCCAACCGGTGCGTGAAACTGTATTTCAAAGTAATGTACATATAAGAAATTTCCTACTATGTTATTGAAATTAAAGGAATTAATAGTTATGATTTCATATGTATATTTCACATGTTTATATGAAAAAATAAGAGTTAATAAAAGTTAAAAACATAAAATACAGTTGAAATGTGTATAATTAAACCAGGACATAATTTACTTAACATGTTTAGCGACCTAGTAATAAAAAGTTCGTTAGAAAAGGTCAGTCAATCATGATGTAGAGCCCTAAAAGTACTCAAGATAGAGTCAGATTTTATTTTTCATTCCGCATGTGTTAGCGTTTAAGTGTCAATTAATATAATTGAATTATAACTTGATATGCGTACAATATAATAACATGAGACATGATCCAGTGCGCCCGGTGAATACATTTAAATGTGCTTATCATAATTACGTTATAAAGATATTGAAATGACAACAGACGAAAGAGTCGCGGCGGCGTAGCGACGTCGTCCCGTACAAATTGAAATAAGCAACTCACGGCGCGCAACGTAGCACGGTGACTGAGGGCGGAAATGGCAAGCCAGCAGTAGAAAGCGAACCTGCAGTTGGCAACACCACCGAGTGGACAGCGCCTACCGGGCCCTAGAAGACGGAGATGTAGTATGATGTCGTTTAAAAAAAATTGTAAATAATCAGGTGTTAATAATAGGTGTGCGAGGGCGCGGTGGGGTCGGCGGGCGGGCGGTGGGGTGGCGGTGGAGAGCGCGCGCGGGGGGGCGGGCGGTGCGCGGCGCGGCCGGTGGGCGGGGCCGCCCCTCCGCGGCGCCGGCGCGCGCCGCGCCTCGCCGCGCCGACGGCTCAGTCCGCTCCGTGCTGCCGTCGCGCACGCACGCGCATGTCGCTCGCTGTCGAATTCGGTGATGTGAGGTGGCCCCCGCCGCTACCGCAGCGCCGCGCGACACACGCGCTTGTTTCGCGACCGAGTGCGCCAGGTGAAGGCTCGAGAGCCTTCGAGCCGGCAAGACGCCGTCCACCGTGGATCTGAGGTACGGCGCCATGGCGGCGACCACGTACATGCCGGGAGAGCTGGATCTCGGCAACCTGGGCGGGTACCATGCTGCGTCGCCGCGCAGCGCCGAGCCCGCCGACATGAAGTACCAGCACCACCTGCAGGCGGGCGGTTCGCCGTCGCCGGGCGCGCCCGTGCTCAACCCCTGGGCGTCGCTGCCGCCGGCCGACCCCTGGGCCGTGCACCAGCACCACGCGCACGCCCACCAGCCGGACGTGAAGCCGCCGCCCGCCCCGCACGACCACCGCCACCTGCAGCACAGCCACGGCTGGCACGCGCCCGTCGTCACCGCGCACTACGGCGCCGGCTCCCCCGTCGCCCTGCACGGCGGCTATGCGGTGCCCATGCACCAGCACCACATGCTGCGCGACGTGCAGCCCTCTCCGCACCCGTTGCACCATCACCACGGCCTCGAGCGAGATCAGCCCGAGGAGGACACGCCCACCAGCGATGACTTGGAGGCCTTCGCCAAACAGTTCAAGCAGAGGCGCATCAAGCTCGGCTTCACACAGGCGGACGTCGGTCTCGCACTTGGCACCCTGTACGGAAATGTGTTCTCGCAGACGACTATCTGTCGATTTGAGGCGCTCCAGCTCAGTTTCAAGAACATGTGCAAACTGAAACCACTGCTACAGAAATGGCTGGAAGAGGCCGACTCGACCACCGGCAGCCCCACCAGCATCGACAAGATCGCTGCGCAGGGCAGGAAGCGAAAGAAGCGCACCTCCATCGAGGTGTCAGTAAAGGGGGCGCTCGAGCAGCACTTCCACAAGCAACCTAAGCCCTCCGCCCAGGAGATCACCACGCTAGCGGACAGCCTGCAACTGGAGAAGGAAGTAGTGCGCGTGTGGTTTTGCAACCGGCGGCAGAAGGAGAAGCGGATGACGCCGCCGAATACGCTCGGCGGCGAGATGCTGGACAGCATGGGCCACGGCCACTACTCGCACGAGGTGCACGGCTCACCGCCGCTGCACGCGCACTCGCCGGCCCTGTCGCCGCCGCACGCCACCCACGCCGCCCACGGCGGCCACGGAGGCCACGGAGGCCACGGCGGCCACGGCGGCCACGGGGGCCACGGCGCGCACTCGGCCCACGCGCAGCACGCGGCGCACGGGCAGCACGGGTTGGCGCCGAGCGCGCACACGCTAGCGGCGCACTAACAGTTCGCCCCGTGGGCGCCGCCGCGGCCGTACTACGCGGAGCCGCACTAGCCGCGCCGCCGCCAGCCCGCGGGACCGAGCTGTGAGCGCCAGCGCCGGCCGCCTCGCCCCGCACCGCCCGCGCACCGCCGGTGGTAAGTAAGGCACGCGGCGGGCCGCGACCCGCGGGGCGCCCCGCTGGCGCCAAGGACCATTTCTCGAATTTATTTATAGACCTAATGAACTAACGGCCGCTGTCCGTCACGGTGTGGGTTCGCAAATGCTACTCACAAAGAACCGTCGTTGCCCCGAAACTGCCCAGAAGCAGACCCACGACGAGCGTCGGGGACGCGAGTGCGACACGCGGATCGGCCTCGAGTTCGTGTAGTGCGGGAATACGAGTGAGTCGATAGGTGCAATTATCGTTTTAAGTGTTCGTTCGGGAGTGTCAGTCCGGGCCGCCACATGTAATTTATTAAAATTATAAGTAAAGGGAACTCTTTAACTAGATGCCAAAATGGTGTTATTCCTCTGTTTTCTATTGTTTTGTTGTTTTTTTTCGTTTGTTTGTATTTGTGGCCAATCTCGGTACTTAATATTTGTAAAAATAGGTATTTTTTCTATATATAATGTACCTACGACGTATATGATATATTAAAAGAGATCTTTATAGAAATTGGGATATAAAAAGAGTCTTTTATTGAGAGTGCCCCGGCGGGCGCTCGCCTTCGCGGCGGCGGCCGCTGAGTGCGACTCCTTCGCCCGGTTCGAACCAAAATGCTGTTGTAAATGTAATTAATTCGTTATTTTCAACGAAGTTGACAAGTTGAAGTATGTGTATATAACTGTATAAACTACAATAGGTAATAAAGGAGGACACGAGGCAGTGGTAGTGCGAGCCTCTAGTAGGTAAATAATGAATAATTAGTCTTAAAATGTTTTATATTAATATCTAAGTATTTAAATAAACCAGAGTAAATATTTTATTACGGAGTATTTATTGGTGAATCCCGGTCACTAGGACTCCAAGAAGACTTGGCGATAGGGACAAAGGCGACTCAGAGTGTGTGTGTGTGTGTCTATTATTTATTTTGTTTGCGGCGGGCGGCGGCAGGTAGGCCACCTCAGCCGCGAGAAAAAACCACCCTAAGATCGGGAACGGTTGACACGTTCGTTGTTTCGCGTCTTTGCCTTTGGCCCCGTCGCACTCCGCTCTGCCCGGTCGCGGCCCACAAAAAAGGGCCCGGGGCCCGTTCTTGCGTTCTTTCCACCCGTGCCTCGCTCTCTACTGTCATCGGTCACTTAGCCTATATCGCTTTCTGTGATTAACACTCGTTGTGACTTAACGCTTCGCTAAGCTTGTTTTCATTATTTTAAATATCTCGAGTAATTTTCATTTTACTAAATTGATTCTTCTGCTTATGTTGCCGCCGGCACTTATAAAATTGTTTAAATTATGCGTAAAACTTTGCTATTTCCGCTTGTTGATGTCATTGTGCAATGGTGTGAGCTGGCGTCAAACGCCAAACGTTCCACTGATTCTAAACAACCCCTTGCAACTCTATCATGTCACGTTCACGATGAATTGGTGCAATAATTCTATTGGCAGTTTCACCTGCCACTACTGTTGATCGTAAAAACTGGAAGGCGCCGAGCCCAGTCGCACGTTACGAGTGTTTCACAGTGCGGACAAAAAGTTTACGTGCGCTGCCAACGGCCATGGACGAAATGACATTCCACCGGGCTGATCAAGCGTTGTATCTAGCGATACCTACTGTGGAACCTCGCACGAAGCCCCTAGACGGCCTATCGTGTCGACGCATTGAGCAACCTGAATGGTTTTCCAATTAAATTTCATTTTGACTGCGATCATACGTAGCTTTCAAATTTCTTAAACATTGTTCAAACACGTTTGATTAAGTTCCTGATACACACAGTATCAATACCCTGTATGCACACTGCATTAAGTCGCCAAAGACCTGATGCGTATTGTTAGTGACTCCAATGAAATCACGGAATAAACCCACACGGCGCCCATTTTGCAATTTGTCCGTATATTAGTTTGGATCCGTGCATAGTTTAAAAACTCGAACAAGTGGAAAAAATGTTCATGAAAACGCGGGCGCCGCGCGAAAACATAATGTTTAGATTGTTGTAGCGTGGAATTTTTCTAGCGAAGCTATTTGCATAACAGCGGTGGCGCGCAAATCACCGAACAATACGGACGCATCACCTCGCCCAGTTTTTGCACTATCCTCTGAATGGGACCCGTCTATTATACACCAATTCAGTATTCCATCGGTGCGTATGCACACCACTAGAATCTATACAAACGAGAATATTCCATCACAGCTTTCATATAACTAGTAAAACTTTTCAATGTTGTAACGCAAGGAGTATCCCCAAGCCCACTAGTTTTTATGATGTTTGTTTATTTTATTTATTTGCATTACATTATCATATTGGAATGCTCTACAAATTATTCGGTTCTTGTTTGCGTTTTTTATTCTTACCTCTCTGACATTTGTTCATTGGAATAATTTTAGGTCTTCGAATAAATTACGAGTGTCAGTAATTTTAATATTCTAAATATTGTGGTACAAAATTGTACTTTTACCAATTTTGCAAGCATTTTTATTAATAATACGTTAGTAAAGATGAAGGTTAGTGAAGATTCTCCATACAATAAATTTCTTTTTCGTGATTTACAACAACTTTGATTCGAATAACAGTTGACAATGTTGTATCAAAAGATGCGGGAGTGACGATGACGAACGCTTTCAGTGAATTAAGTGAAGACAGTGTTGGGTTGGTCGTCGCTAAGTAACGTCCCCGTTGGCAACCGCAAAGGTAGATGTTCAAGGTCCAAGCCGAGCGTGAGTAGTTGGGTTCGTACGGGCTGCGCGCAGTGTCGTAGATAAGGCCGTGTCACGCGGCCTCCGTGTGGGAGCCGCGGTGGCATCCATCCGCGCCACGCGATCCGCTGAGCACTCGCTGTTCAACGTCGCGTTTATTGTTATTACTCGATTGCATTCGTCGTGCGGTTCCTTGTTCCAGAGCGCTATCAGAAACAAGTACAATATATACAAATTTCGCGTAACGGTTCCAGATGTCAGTGACAGAGCTTTTCGTCCTATTGGTTATAAGTAAATTTTCTATGTCGCATCGAAGCCGGAACAAGTCGTTGGTTAACAAATGTACAGCTAATAATCTGAACGCGCGCACCTCTTGTTCAACCCATTTTACTGGAAGGCGGTTAACGTTGTTTGCTCAACATACAGTTGGACTTGGAAACCTGTTTGTCTTTGTAATTATAAAATATGCTAACATTTTTTTCGTGTCTTACGACCGTCGCAATACAAATATTGAATATAAACATATTAAAATATACTCCTACGGATTATTTTTCGGTATCCCGGATTTTTTTGCTATCGTATATTGGCCTTATATCGTATCATCGCTCTTCTTTGATTTGCGAAAATACTGATCTTAGTCTTGCAATAGCTTCGCAGTTATATTTATGATTTTAGTCATTCGGCGTTTTTTTCTTTTGCGTCTTTTATTTCGCGTAGTCTGTAGTGGGTACTATATTGATAGTTTCTTATCGGAGGACAGCATAAGTGTGTCCTTTCGCGACATGGTATCCGCTGCACCCTATGAGCGCTTCATTTGGCTGACTTCGCACGCCGTAGGTATATTAGTCGTTAGTTTTCTGCATTCCGCCGTAAGATATGTTTGGGAAACGTAAAAAAAAAAGCGGCCGCGGCAGGTGCGGCGGCGGCGAGGCCACCTTTATCAGCCGCGCATTAAATTTATAGGCAGCCACGGTTTTGGTAGCGCCGCGAGCGGTCCCAACGCCCCTCGCTCCCCCGCTTCTCTGTCGAGCTCTTTTCACGCGTCCGCTATGTTTCGCGGTGACTTGCTTAGTATATGTGGGCGAATAGCTTGCGTCAACTCGCTCTTGTTCGCTCCTCGATTGACGGGAAGCAAGCGTTCGTTGCAATGAAGAATGGCGAGCGACAGAATCCCGAGCCTATCGCGCCGCCCTATCTCGAACAGTCGACAGAATCATAAGAAATGAAATAAATAATAACACACGATTAAGATCAGCCAAAGGCCGGGAGTCTATAAACTAGATCTCTAAGCTCGCCGAGGCATTCGTTTGTAACCGAATCCATTCACAGTGAATTGGTTTTTGTGTATTGTAATTATGTACTATAGAACTTATAAATACCTGCCTGTGTACTTATAACTGCATCAGAGGGAATGACGAATTTCATGGTAAATTGAGTTAACTTGATCAACCTTATTGTTTTCATGAAAACAATAAATTGTTTTTTTGTAAAAATTGTTTTGTTTAATTTCGTGTCTCAGCAATGAGATTCCCACCAAACCCGCATTTAATAGAATTGATCGTTGTCCACGGCTTTGAAAAGTATTGTGCTTGTTGGCAAAATGATCCACCTTGTTCAATGTTAAGTAGAATTGAAATTATATATGGCAATAGTATGAATATGTCTTGGATCGCCACGTTACAAACAAAAATTACTGTAATGAAAGAAGTTTATGTTTGTTACTCGATATTTACATCAGAACTCGGTTATTTACAAAGCGATTTTAAAAGTTCTTTTTGACTTTAATTTGCCATGGCTCCCAATTATTAGTGTCATAAAATTTTCTCTGGTATTGTACCTCGGAATTTTATCAGAGAACTCCTAAAAATCGAATAGTAAATGTAGAATTAGCGAAATATTTGAAGTCAGTTTTTGTTTTCTTGTTAATAAAAATATACTTGTCATCGCAAACTGTACCGTCGGACGCTTTTATAGAAATTAACTGAAGCAGCAAATTTAGCCAACATTAAGCAAATTTGAAATTTTGTAGTTAAGCTCGTGCCGATTTGTACTGCGGTATGAATCACTTAAAACGTTAACTTACTATAGATAAGTTCTTGACAGCACAGCAGTGTTTAATACGCATTAATTTATCTTATATTAAAGGCAACTTTGCCATTAACGCGTTCCATTCCGTATGTCTTGTTGGAGTGCTCTGTGAGCGTTAAAGTAAGTTGAAGAAGTTTAACAATAATTAAACAGTAAAGTTTGTTTCAATATTCTTTTGAATTTAGGAATACATCATAAAATACTAAATAATTTATGTGTCAACAATGACATTTTGATATCTCCCGCTGATATAATAAGTGTTATTTAGCATGTATACGTTATGTATTGTGTTCTTTAGCATATTGATGAATAAAATAATAATATTCTTCAGTATCCATATTTTGTTACGCTGCAGTTGTATTTAAAAAGGAATTATTAAGTTTTTAAAATGTCTGACGTTTATAACGGTTGTTTTTTAATCTTGCAAAAATATTGTTTTAGAAAAGGTTGCTTACAAAGAAATTAGTCGAATTATAAAAAATGTATATAAATAAAGTTGTAATAGAAACATTGACTTATAAATATGTACATATAATTAATCTTTGTTCTACAATGCTAATATTTGACGGATAACAATAGCTCTAACTGCTCTAAGGTTGTTTAAAGTAAAGCTTAGCAAGTACAAGTTACTTTTAATTAAAATGTGTATTTTTACCAACTGTCCCGGCCAACTGACTATAGCCTGTTTTTATATCTCTCTACTTTATCCATTTTATTTTACCAATTGGGTTTAATTTATTCGGCGATAAGTAATTTTACTTATAAAGGACTGTACATTTAGAGAGAGTATGCAATATATCGTGCAAGTTTAATTTGTAAAAGAATTTATATTTGACAAATGTTTTTAACATTAAATTCGAGGTGCATTCACTCGCGTGAAGATGCAAAAGTATTGGATTTCTTAAAAGTGAAATAGCTCCCCGATCGGGTATGATTTGCAAGCGATATCAGCATTTATTGCTCCGTACACTTACGCGGGCAATTAAAGGTTGACGCTATGGTCGTTCGATAGCCGGCAAATGCGGTCAATTGACACCTAACCTCAGCGGGCCTTCGGGGCCGAGGCGCGGGTCACTGGGACCCGACCTCGGCCGATTGCGCGGGGATCGCTTCGTCCAGGCGCTCTCTAATTCGGAAAAAATGCCGATATGTAAATTTTCATACATTACCCACGGATAATGCCAGCATTCAATAGCTAAGCGGAGGTGTGCGAAAACGCCAATCTTTTTAGATAGATTCAGTAGGTGGTATGTATTCAGATTCGCGGAAACCTTATTAAAAGAGTGATGTAATGTACCTACATTAATCTCATTATATTTGTTTTTAAATTGAATACTTTAAAAATCATTTTCTATTAGTCGATTGTCATTATTCACAATAACTAAATGCGCATCGTAATTATTGATGGAGAAAATTTAGAGACAATATGAAATGCACAGAAACAGCACATAGGCTCGTCGACTCTTTATCGCTCCTTATCAAACGCATTTGTACTTAGTAGAGGAAGTGGCGGCTTTGGTGCTTACATTCAAAGGCCTCAAATACTCAATCATAATTGAAACTTAACTGCGATTCTTTATAGCGCGTCAATTCTTTCACTAAGCTAAGTCGCCATTGCCTCCGACAGGCGTTCCGCGAAGATAAGAATAAGTTGTAAACTTCTGTATTCAACGACGAAATAAAACGGAATGAAATTCGAAATGTACGCATGTACCTGAGAGAAGAACAGGAGCCTTAGCGTTCAAACCATGCAATAAAAGCACCCATCACATTAAACTCTGCAGGTTGAAATGTAAACTCTCGTGAGTAACATGTGAAGATTGTATAAATATATGTAATTGTGTATATGTATTCGCGTCTGCCATTAGTTCGCCTTGGGGCATTACTATCGCTCTTTAACGACTCCGCTGTGTAACTCAATGCACATAACAGAAATAATTTTGCATCGACATTGGCCCGTCGAGTCATTCCTTTGTTACATAACGCGCCATCGGATTCAAGTTCAGGTTTTTTTGTATCGGGACTCTTGTAGAGCGTTTGTTTCAATTGATTCTAAGACCTTCGAGGGGCGGCGCCGCTTATAAAGTACAGCAGCGGGATCGGACTATTTGAGCTTTGATATCATTTGCATGTCCGTTTGGGCAATTAGGTGGTACAATGATGTATGTATTAATGAATGAATTATCGATTCGGAAGGCTTAGTTAGTTGTAGTGGGTGGACAGTGCGGGTGTAGGACGGAGGGCCGGCGCGTGCCGCGGGGGGCGATTCCGCGGAGGGGCGGAGAGGGGGTGGAGGGGGTGGGGGGTGCGCACGGATTGATAGCGGCGCCCCCGTGTCATTGGCTTATTGTTTCAAATACCTACGGCGGCTCCCGTGCCGACGTACGCCCGTGACAGGCCCCGGCACCGCACTCGTTAGTGCGACGGCAACCCCTTTCCGTATTGATTCGCAGTTTTCCATACGCAATCAACGCAGAAATTGTACGTTATAGCATTTGCGTGACGTAATTAATAATTAAGACGTGAACAGTGTTCTAAAACTCGGCGTGCGCTCATAAAAACCGCTGCGTTGCTGTCGCCACTATGGCCGGCGCGGCCCAGCACCCCGTCCAAATCACTCGACGCCAAATGAAGTCAATAACGAATATCAGTGGATTGATGGCCCGCGCTTCGGCCTAATAGATGGCCGTCAGAGCTCTTGCCTAAGAGGTCTCACTTAAGTAACTCTTGCGTTCTTGATGTAGTGCCGTCGGTGACCAGATGGAGCCGCTATCTATAAAGTTATTTATCGTGTTCACGCTCAAACAACGACAATTGCGTAAGCCTCGACACTGTAAGGTCCGTGAGTGTCAATTACTTTGAGGCGAATCGAGACGTCTTTTCTCCGGATGGAAGGAAAAAAAAACTTTTATTGCGCTCGGATTTATCGGTTTTGGGTCGCGATAACAAAAAATAATTAAGTGGGTCTGGTGTTTCACTTCGACATGTGATACATTTCACTAATGCGATGTACTGCTAGATCAATTGGCGGTTAACTATTAACTATCCTCTAATATCGATAAGCCCGTGCAATTGTTTGATGTATATTTGTAAAACATTAGAGCAGCCTGCTTGCACCAGGGACGCTATTATAAAAAGTGACTTCTATTCATAACTCCGTCTACGTTAGTTTGTTACGATATCAAAGTATGTTTCAAAACGAATATGCCAGATTAGATTATATTATTAGATTTAAATTCGTAGTGAAAACAATTCTTATTTAATGTATCTAACGATATGGATTCGTACAGAACGTCTTTAGAGTGAAGAGTGGATTCTTAGACTTCGTAAAAATCAGCATTTTATCAAAATTGTATTAAGAAAAGGATTCCTCGCTTATTTTACGCTCAACGAGCCAGGAACAAATGTTCAGAAGTGGTCAGATGGAGTTGTGTGAAGTTGTGTTTCTGGTATGACAATGTTACAACCTTTACTTAATAATTTACGTGTATTGTTAGCAATGAAACGCTACGCTAAGCGGGGAGCGTGACAGCCGCCACCGCTTCCTCCACTAAATTAGGTACAAATGCGATTGATAAGGCGCGATAAGGAATCGACGCAGGTAGGGCCGTGACCGAACGCTCGGCCGCGCACACCGTCGCCCCATGGACTCTAGGCAGGGGGCTAATTCAACCTGACGATTGTTCAACACACGAACCTAGTGAACACAATGATCACTCTCACAGAACACGCATTGTCGTGAACAATATGTGATATTCCCTTCTGTTTATCTGTAAAGATAATAACGATAATAATTCCTGTAGATCGATAAAACGGTTCCAGTTAAATTGCAAAACAATTCCAATCTTGATCCTTTCAAGCATGAACCTAGATAAAAATACGTGGTTCAACTGTACTTAGTAATACAGAATAAACTGTTGAATACAATAATATGTGCTGTATATAAATCGGTTGACCATTTGCATATGAGGTTATTTTATTTCAATACCATCAGATGCGTCTTGCAACTGAGCAGAAAGGGATGCTCGAAAATCATATTTACGCCTCCTTATCATATATAAATAAATATAATAATATAAAGGCAAGAGAAACATCGAATTAAGATTAGCTATAAAATAATGCACCTATTTTATCTTATGAATTTGTAGAAAAGTTTTAGATTTTTCGTAATGATAAATTGAGGGTTGAGGGCTACTCAGCTTAACGGGAAACGAGAACACAGTCTTGCCTTGCTCATTTATTAATACAGCTGTAACCTCCTATCTAAAAAGCAAAGGTAATACTGTTATATTATGTTACGATACTATTGTACTATTATTTATTTAATATTTAAAGTCAAATCAATTTGTACCGTAAAAATAAGGAATAGGGGCGCAAAATGACCTCATACATAAGCCTAGCTAATTAATTCGTGGCTTGTGTGTAAGAGAAATGAAATTGAAAAGCCGATGCCATTTATGTGTGATCAGGTTATTTTTCAGGTATGTTAGCAAAGTAGTTAACCTAAATGGTTGTGTAAAATTACTAATGGGATTTGTTAACATTAACAAGCTTCCGCTGCCGTCGACACACACACATATTATCTGGCAAGTTACGGCGAATCACCTTCTATGGTCGCAATATTTATGGCCTTGCTCATTCAAGACTGTCGTGTCCTAGACGCCGTCCGCCGGAAGCGACAAACGCTTTTTATCTTATGATGTCCAAAAGTTTTTAATTACTATTATCTCGATTGTTAATCGCTTATACCGCGAGAGCTACACAACACAGGACAATTTGTATTTTGAATGATATTTTAAACATCACGGATGAGAGACAATCGCACCGCACTTTTCACGCTCTGACACCGACGACGGCTCAAGTCAACGAACTTCGACCGTTCGTTGTTTTGATAGTACTTTTGTTATTAAATAATTATTCACTTGGCAGGGTACTCATAGAATACCCACAAACTTTAATTCAGACATCAGCATGTTTAGGAACTAGTTAGTGTATACTAACTCATTGGTAGGAAAAATATAGTATATGAAACATGTATGGGGTATATCTGTGATGTTTAGCAAATATGGAAGTAGTCAGTTTTCTAAGTTCCGCGGAGTGGCGCTAGATGGCGCTGGGCGACGCGCACGACTGTCCGTCCCATCGGGTGTCTCCTCCCGACCCCCGCCTCAACCACCCCCGCCACCTCTCCCTATATCGCAGTTAGGTATTACGTATAGCGAGTGACGTACGATACTCTACTATTTATGCGTATCATCCCCAATGTGCACCCCCTCCACTTGATAAAAAGACCGACATTAAATCTGATAGAACTGTAACGACCAGCGTGTGATGCTAATGAAACTGCCTACAGTGCAGTGTTTATTTACGTTCGCAATGATTTATGCAGTCGAGTCAATGACTCGGTGTTATTAAATAAGCATAATTGCGCAATCCCCGCAAAATTATGCAAAAAACTCGTTGCTTGCCCATTTGCGACGACAAAAACTCTGCGAGACTTGTTTAATACACAATAAGCTCAAAGGCATATTCCGTTTCGGGTTTATTTGCAATATCTGTCTGTGGCATGATTCTATTTACAAGTGTGGAGCACCTAAACTGACTTTTCATAACACAACTCAGTGAACATTGGGTTCATTGATGACAATGATGTAATCTCCATGTAGTTTTATAAATTTTAAATATTTTTTTGTAAATATTTTAGGACACATTTTTACAAAACGTTCTCTTGTACCAAACTAAGTAACGCTTGTACTATGAGTTCTAGATAAGTGATAGACACACTTAAACATACTTTAATTTTATAAATAAAGACATATATATATATAAACAGCCAGACACTAGAAAACTCTATGTTCATCACACAATATTTTCTAGAAGTGGTGATTGAACCCACAGTCTCTGGCGCAGGAGGTAGGTACACTACACACAACGGCATTTATGCATATTATATTTATGAGTACCATTAAAATTACAATCTCTTTATTCATAATCAATTGTTTAACAAAGGTGTCACGTTTTAACGGTGGTAGGACCATGCAGCAGCCTCGTAGCTGTTGCATGAATGGGCAGGCCCGTCCGGGTAAGTGCCACGCTCCACCTCACTGAAGACCAGCGTAAATTAGAAGTATGACAAATACTTTCGCGTTTCGTATGGTGATCGAGGTAGCCGGAGCCCAATTTTCAAAAGGTTGCACAATTCTCGAATATATCAATGAACGTTAACATAATTAAGAGGTACTTAAGTCTTTCTAAACCGCTATGTACTACGCATAATGCCTACGTTTCAAGATAGAAGGAACTAGTTTCGGAGTAAACACATTTAAGTGTACTGCCTCTGAGTAATTAAGGTAAACAATTAATTAAAAAAGTAGATTCGGTTAGTCCAGTTCGCTTCAAAAATTATCTCTCGGTGACTGTTTTTTATTGACTTGTTTCTTGTTTTGTTTTGAAATTACTCTCTGGAATGTCACGTAGTAGGTACCACATCTTTTGCACGAATGGGCAGGCTTTTCCGGCGGAGTACTTTGAACTCGCAAAGGACTAGAATATTGTATGTAGGACGGGGAGTAATGAAGGGGAAAATGGTGTCCACTCTTCTAAAAGTTGGTAACACATTTGCGATCCTACAGGTGAAGTAGATATCCATAGGCAGAAGGATCACTTAACATGAGCAACCTTCTTAAGTCAGTTGCATGTAACATTCATCTCTACATTTGTTTGTGTGACTTGAACATGAGGGTAATTGAATAGTTAAACGCACATCACAGAAGGATTTTTATATGTATGACCTTAACGAAAAGACATGACAGTAGTTAATATTAGATGATCGTAATAGTTAGTAACATTTCTTTTAAATTAAATGAACGGAGCATCGTGCGCTAGTTATATTATGTTCTCTTGGGCGCAGAATAGGTTACAAAATCAGATAAGCTACAATTTTTCGTGTGTAAACTTTTTACAGCAATCTTTAAGCATTAAAGATATTGGTAAAACAGAATAATGTATTTTAAATGTCTATGTATACAATTTATTGTATTTTTTTTTATTTAGAATCAATTTTTCCGTGTGAAAGTCTTTCTAAGTAATGTTCTTTATTAACATATAATTTGCATCTAAATTTGTTTCTAGACAAAAATTAAGTGTAAGCTGTAATTATACAGTATGTAAGACGATATTAAATAGTACTAAAGCTGGATTTAATCTACTAATCATCACTTACGGGATAAATAAGTTGGTTTTTGGCGGCTAGTTAGGGTCAAGTAAGTTTTCGTCGAATTAATCTGTTCTCAGCATCCTTAAATGGTACAACGCTTCTAATGGAAGCAGTAACTGCGGTAATGTATCGTATTAAATTACAATTAAAATCACTTATCAGCGTATACATTGTT